TATATTTTCTCAGTGGTTTAATGCTGACTCATTTAAATATATTAGTGTTATTACATGCAACTGTTATCTGCACCTGAACAGTCTTCCCATTAATTTGCCTTCATTTATGCTAGCCTCTCCCTCCCAATAGTTCACACCTAGCAGTCAGATGTTTACCACAGTTTCTGTGAAACTTGAATGCAGCGGATTTGGATTGAGGTGGTGATGATTATTATTTTTTAGACACTGGCCCTGAAAATGTCAGATTGGGGTTTCAGCACATTGAAATTGTCACATTAATACCTAAGTTGCCGTTCTCTGCAAACAGCTGTGCAATGCTGGTATCGAAGACTAAGCAGTCACTATTCATAATGGCGGTTGCGATCCCCTCGTGGATCGATCGCGGGGTTGCTTCCCAAGTCAATCGCCGCCTGTGACCGTTCAGCTCGAGGCGGTAAGCAAAATTTTCCGCTTGCTTCCGCGTGCCTATCAACTGTACGATTGCAAAGAACTGCTGGTGGCCATCGTATTTCTCCTGTTTCTCCAGTACTAACATGAAGTGAAAGCCAAAGCAAGACTGCATCATAACCCAATCGACAGCTCCAGGAAGGTTAATGTCCGTAGCGAGGAAAACAATATCTTCTCCCTGTAGCGTTGTTATGGATTTATGTTGGTGCATGAGGTGTGGCATGACAGCATCCAGAGAGCCTTGCCACTTACAAGAGGCCCCAGGGCACGGACAAGAGTAAGGCCTGAATTCACAAAGCTCTTCGTGGTCAGCTTTCTCGGTATGCGGCAAGGTGATCTCGCAGCCGGAGGAGGCGTATTTACAAGGAAACAGTACGGAGTTGGCAACTTTTTCCATAGCCAAATTCCGAATGGAACCCAACGGTCCTCGGCAGGTCGGACAACAGGTGAGCTTGGGGCGGCAATTACTACAAACGAGGTGCCCGCTTTGGCACTGGAGGATAGGTGGCAGCACATAGTCAAAGCAGACGGGGCACTCAAAGAGGCTGGCCAAGTCATTGTTGGAAGCGGTGGTGCCCGTCAAGGCCGGTACCCTTTGGGACGGTGTGCACTTGGAGGTACCTGTCGGAAGTGCTGTGGCAGTCTGACGACTCATTTCTGCAAGAAACGAAAAAAACAAAAACCAAAGTGAGTTCCTTTTAACTAGCAACAATTATCTCAAACTTTATATTTTGTGGGGAGAAAGATCAAATGCAACTATGGGCTAATCCATAGAGCCTTCAGTGCAACCATTTCTCACAGTGGCTTTCAGATGTTGATAAAGAGAACAATAAAGGCTATATACCTCTCTGAACAACTGGTATTTAGATGTGCACAGTCCCTAAAATGTCCTATAGTTACTTACTGCTAAAATAGTTACCTTCTATAGGCAGGTCTCAAATCTGTTCTGAAGGTGCCTCTAAAAGATAGTAAGGTTTTGATAACAGCAACAGGTTTTACCTGAAATGGAATCACTATGGGAGCATTTTCCTCATTTTTCTCCTTCCAGCATTGCTATTAAATAAACAATATTTTAAAAGAGTGCTCATTTAAATACCAACTCTAGTAAGTTAATTTAGAACACTTTTCTCTCTCTTTTTTTAAAGCGAACCTGCATTTTAGCCCAAGTATCTATGAAGTTTACAAACTGGTAAATTAAGATATCAGTGAGTAACTGAAAAATTATTTTGTATGGCAAAGTGTTCATTATGATATGCTTGATTAACAGGATCTGTAAGTATTCCTGGAACTGGAAATATCAAGAAAATGTCCAGAGGTTCCAAAGTTAGATAGAACTGCAACAATATAGCCAAAACTCTTCTGCCAAACCATAAACAAAATCTAGCAGTCTTTGAAAATTTCACTTGTTTTCTGGCATCTTTTTTAGAGAAATTCTCTACTGACAGGAACTGCCCATTGCTGGCAAAGTCATCAAGCTCGGTCAGGATTTTCCAACATCTCCAAATTAGCTGCTAGTTAAAAATTAAAAAGGTTTCCTCAGTAGCTATGTGCTGTTGAAGAAACCAACTTCTGGATACACTGGGAGCCTTTCCCAAGACACCCTGGGTGATAATTAGCTATTCTGCCAGGCCACTTGCAATGCAAAAACTGCCATCAGCTTAGTGACAAAACACCTAGGAGGTAAGCAATGGCATTATGCCCGGGAGGAATGGCAGCACCCTTAGCCAACATTTCTGCTTTGTGGGGATTTAAACAAAAGATGGAGAAGCAGTCTCTTCCTAAACACGTGGGACCAAAATATCAATATTTTGAAGGTGCCACATTCCAACAACTTGACAGTTTACGTTTTGTTTTTCATACTAATCGGAACATTTTCATCAAATATTTTCCCTGGCCATCTGGCTACATGTTTTGCGTGGCTGAAATGCTATTAAATACCTATAGCTAAATATAGCTAACCTCAGTGGGCTGCGAACAGTCTCCCTATGCCTGCCAGGAAGCATCTGCAAAACCCCAAAAAGTTCTGTATGGTGAAGCCAATTAATGGGGTAGGATTCCGTAGTTAAAAGTATTCAAATTAAAACTATGTCCCAATTTACTTGGCAGGAAGTTCCTCTGAAAGAAACACGATTGAAGCAAAAGTACTGCCAAATTTCAGCTGCTGTAATTAAAAAGGTAAGGGCAGCATGTGGCGTGGTGGGATAGCATTTCTCCTTTTTGCTAAAAGAGAGGAACTCTAAACTCTGCCTATGAACTCTAAATAAATTTCCTCCAGAACTGTTTATGACCAAAGAAGACATTCCTTAAATCAAAAGTATTATAATGAGGGAACGGGCAAACATGTATTTGGTTGTCCTGTTGTGTAAAGCACGCACACCCCAAAAGCTGGGCATTACACACATGTAACAGCCACACTTCAACCAGGCCACCTATTTCATATTACACAATCCTGTAAAGTGATTTAGAAATCGCATTGCTACACCCTTTAATCAGACAGCAAGTGCTTCCAACTACTTTTATCAAGTTTATCAAAGCTCAGCCCTACTTATTTCGTACGCTAAGGGATTAATCATTTGGGTTTTACACTTGCTGTAAAACAATTCCCACACTGTTTATAAGAGGAGGAGTATTCACTAGTTCTAGAATCCATCTGAAGAATACTGATTCTCGAAAAGTGAGAAAGGGACCCCATTCTCATACAAATTTTCTATATCTATGATGAGAAGAGCATACTCTAGAAAAGTTTTTGAACTAGATTCTTTGCCCATTACAATTAGTTCATTTGGATGGCCTCGTGGAACAATAGTATGTAACATTGTAATTTTTAGTAAACATATTGGTATAAATGGTTTACAGGCTGTTTTACTGAGCTTGCTTAAAATAACTTGGTAACTTTCCATGCTACCAATCATTTGCCAGAAGAGAAAGCCTTCATGTGATGAAATCGTTAATCCAGTTGGATGAAACTGATCACCATTGTAGTAATCTAGATGGACAGGACAAGTTTCTATTTATTCATTTAGCTTCTTTCCGCCACATCTAGAACTTTCTCCACTTTCATCCTTGTAGTATCTTATGAAGGACAGGTTGTGAGTTTTCATGGCTGAGTGTGGACATGAATCTAATCCTGAGTCATAGACCAACACCCTAACCAGTATGTTGACTCTTAATTTAAACTGAACTGGCTTTACCAAAAACATGTTTTGCAAACTTAAATATCTAGCTTGTTTCAAATAATATTTCATTTCTAGAACTACAAAATCTGGGCTTGTTATTAAAGTACTAAATTCTTATTTGACCTATTTAAAAACTAATTTTCCAATTCTTTAAGTATAATTGTGCTTGTGTTAGTTGCTAAGTACTGGCTGATTCACTATTGTAGGTCTGATGCTTTACTATAAAATGTTTTTAAAGCACTTCTGTGTTCAAAGCAGTATAATTCCAGGTATAAATTACTATCAAATAGTTATATGAAGTCATGCATGAAAAAGGATCTGAAATTCCAATTACTGTCCCTTACTGCCTTAATCTATAGGCCAGATTTAATATCACATAATATCAATTAAAGTATTAGCAAATGCAAATTGCCAGTTATTAACAGCTGGAACTATTCCCCATTTCCCCTACCCCATCTTTAAATCTTCAAAAACAAACCATATCAATATCGGATGGAAATATATGCAAAAGCCTGCTCTGCTGGGAGTAGAGAACTGAAACTAATCTTTATCCAGCAAGAGAATTAGCCAGTGACTCACCACTTTTAAGTGTTTTGTATACTTTCTCAATATACAAATGACAGGGTGTGGATGAATGTGGGATCCTGCCTCATTATCATGGAGCGTGTCAGATCATGCCCAACTGTAAAACAGATCTCCAATGTTACACAATGTAAGTAGATCTGTTTTCTGACCACATCAATACTTTACTTGCTACCTGTACTAAAAACCACTATTTTTCATCAGTCAGCAATCATGTGACAATACAATTTACTTGTTGAGATTCCAAAATTCTATTTTGCACAGTATTTTTAGGGCTTCTGCTCTAACAGAAAGGGGATCCTGCTCTATTTTGGTATTAGAAAAAAAAATCAAGTACAATTGTAATTAAAATCAAGTACAATTGAGCAAACTCTTCATGATTTTTAGCCACATAAAAGATGATGATTTTTAATTGGCTCAATAATTGGAAAGACCTCACGAATTCAAATACAAATTGCCAAATTGTATATCTTTGGATTATCGTATCAGGGCATGCCAATTTCCAAATTGAAGCAATTACTTAATGACGTATTGCAAACGTTACATAGTGATTCCTCTGGTTCTTTGTCACATTTCAGACATATAGTAAATTTTGAGCTAAAACAAAACATTAGCAATTATTCCATTCCCATTTAAAGCACGTGAAGATTTTGTTTGTGATACAATATGTGGTTCTGCTACTTACAACAAGGGTTAATTCAACTAAATTGCCATCTGCTGAAAACTTACAGGTGTTTCTCACATTTCTTTAAAACAAACAAGTGAAACGCCTGTGAAATGCCAGGGCCACACAACTCTTGAATATGAGATGCCAAAACAACCCCAGTTTAGAAATGTGCTACCTTTTCTTTTGTTGCTTTTATTTCCTGGCAGACATGTATAAAGGATTCCTTTCCAGGCATACAAAAAACTGAAGGCGGATTTCCCCGTCATCAGGAGTAAAACAGCTCATTGCGTTTCTCCATAGAAACAAAAACAATCCACAACAGAGGCCCCTCCTGGAAATTCCTAGGCTTGCAGACAACCAGCGCAAACACAATACCCAGAAGGGGGCACAAATCCATGAAAGGCAAGCAGTTTCCCGAACATGGCCAGGGCGTGGAAAACCAACAGTTTTCTTTTTCAGTAAAGTTTCCAAAGTAATCCTGAGCGTAAACCAACTGGGGAAAAGAAGGGTGGGGAGGAAAGCAAAGGTGAGGAGAGTCACGGACTTGCAAATCCGGCCAGTCTCCAGTTAGATCCACTTTGATCAGAAAAGCTTCTTAGGATGGTTCCTGCATTGTCACTTCCATCGCCCAGCCTTTTTGTAATGTTGAGTGATCTCCAGAGTCAGAACCAGCAACGGCACGAATCCAAACGCAGCAGCAGCTCCTCCAGAATTCAGCCCGGCGCCTTCTGCAGCAAAGCCACTGGCTGCTGAAGGAACCCTGAGTCTGCTATTCTTCGGCTCCTCGTATACACATCGGGGAGGGAGTCACAGAATAGAGGCGGTGCCTCACCTCAGCCTAGGGAAGGAAGAGGCAGGCTGGCCGGCCAGCCTCACATGACCAGCTGGACTCTGCATGCAGTCAACTAATGCAGGCATCCATCAAAGGAGAGCCTGCTTCATGCAGGAAAAGGAAGGCTGGGGAAAAAGGAGCGCTGGGCCCTTCCCCAACCGCAGCCAGGCTAGGAGAGGAGCTCAAGGCAAAGTGCAAACTGCAGCCCTGCACTCCTCCCTCGCCTCGGAGGACCAGACTGTCTCCCAACAAGCAGCTGGTGAGTTTAATTAGTGGCCCTCCTGCAAAGATGGTTTAATGTGGAACAGAAAGAGCAGCAAGGCTAGCAGACTTCCATGAAACCAATGAGGCTCTCTATCCAGCAGCCAGGCTGTTACCTTCTTCTTCCCCATACACAGTCCTAGAAAGGTCCAGCAGGGGAAGACTATTTGGATTTGGAAGCTAAGCATGATCAGACCTGATTAATACTTGGAAGGGAGACCACCAGGAAATCCCAGGGGAGTGGTAAATTGTAGAGAGAGGAAACTGCATAGCTCTTTCCAGGTAAGCTCGATTCACTAAATTATAATATGGACATTATTTTAGAATAAACAATCCCTTTTATAATTAGTAAGACTACTAGTTCTCTCCATGTTGCCCACAGGCTGACAGCTCCAGAAGAGTCCCTGCCATACCTGGAAATGCCAAGAATGGGACACGAGGTATTTTACGCAGGCTAAGGAAACTTCCCATGAAAACTGCTGTTTATATTGAGGTGTATTTAAAACACACATGCAAGCCTGAAAGAAGTGAGCAATAATGTCTACTGGGGCCATGAAATGAAGGCAAACAAGCCACATCTCAGTATATCAACTTAAATTCCAGGATTCTTTAATATAATGGAGAGCAGAGAACATGTTCTGCAGTTCAGTGCAGGCAGACAAAAGGAGATGCAGACCCCTACCCTTTGAAAGCCCCAGTAGCTCTCCAAGGATGTCCCCAAAAGTTTTTAAATGCTAATGTAACATAAAGAAATTAATAAATATATTACAGAATTACTAGTAACCATATTTAATTTTACTTTGGTCTATGTGAGATCAAAACAAATCTGTTTTTTCTCTCGGCCCTGCCACTAACTTTTAGCATGCAGCCTTCCAAAAAATGTTTGTTCCTCTGATGGACTGAATGCCAGGAATAGCACCAGATACAACACGACTTATCTGATGACGCATGGAGCAAACAGCTGCAAATTCCTAGGGTTCCTATAGCTTTAAACCTAAAGGTATAAGCATCTGTATTAATAGCGTGTATGGATTTAGGTAATTAAACAATTTTAAATGGTTAAAAGGTATCAACTAAACCTTTAAAAATAGCACTGTCAGACTAGGAGATGGGGTGATAGACTGAAAATACATTTCTGTTTGGAAGGCCATTTCAGGCTGTGTAACAATTACTATGTGCACAGTAGGCTCCAGAAAACCACCTAATAGGAAGGTCATTGCATGGCAATGGGGTCCAAAAAATTTCATCTCTTTCAAACCTACATTCTTTTGTGTCAGGCCAGCTCCAAAACTTCATTCGCATTTCCTGCCTTTACCCCCTGTTTTGCAGAAGTCTTGTGTGATGATGGGTCATGGAGACATTTTCAGGGCTTTTGAGGTTTTGCCTGAAAAAATACCCTTCTATAAAGTGCCCTGTAGTAATACTATGTTGGAAAATTCCATGGGGGTTTCACATATCAAAATGTGACAACTACTTGTTCTCGTCAAAGGAAAAATGTTATCATTACTAAGCGCTTTATCTAAAATTTATTTATTACTAAATAAATTCACACACATATATGGTTAACTAAGATAGGGTTTGGTTAGTGTGTGAATGGGACACTTAGAAAATATCAGTGCAGTAATTTAAATTAAAAATCTGAAAAGTCATTGAAGAAAAGACAAGGCAAGTCACTTTCTTGTTATCAAGAAAATCAATACAAGTCACCAGAAATCTAGTTCAATTGAAAGGGAAACATCACTTACAAAGATGAAGACTGAGAAGTAATGTTAGAGTTTTCTTGAATCCTCTCTTTCTACAAATATCGCATGCACTTTACTGTGTAAAGTGATACACATGTATAAATTAAATAAGAAACTTGGAATTAACTATTAGGCATTCAATGACGATAGAGATTGCACCATTCACATACATCTAACACAAACCCACTAACATTTTTCTTTCAATTTCACATAGAAAAGCTGTGAGGGACTTCCGGGTTCATTTCCTGGTGATCTGCCATCCAGTACTAACAAGACTAATGATGCTTCAGTCACATTTGTTACCCAAGTAGGCTATAAATAAATGCATTCCAACGCTAGTGAAATCCTCCCTTAAAAAGATACTTCAGAACAGAATTGACTTGAAATACATACAAACTATTCTAGCAGGCTACAAAATGTAAGAGCTAGATCACAATAAAACTTATCACATAATAGGTAGTGTATGGACTCAGCTTGAAGAACTAGTAACCATTTCTTAAGTCCAAAATGCTTGTGGTCAACATCCATCCCAATTTTAGTGCACTTTTCCTCAAGCTGATGCTTTACATCCAATAGTAGGATGTCAAATGTAATACCTAAGTGCCCGCCTCTACGGTTTTTTTTGGGTGGTGGAGCAGTTTGCATTTCCATTAACTATAAAAAGAGTCATGTACACTCACTTTTGCTTCAGTGTAGCATTATCTTCCTCGAATCTTGGAAAGCTCTATGAGTTTGAAATGAACTTTCTGTGATGTTCATTATCTTCTTACAAACTTTAATCAGGAGCCTGAAAGTTATTTGTATTTGGTCTGAAGTTTGTAGGTGTGCATTTCTGAAGCTCCTATGTGAATTAATGTTAAAGCAAATTCAATACAGGTTTCAATGAGGAATGGACTTGTCTTCAACTGAGTTAGAATGTGTCTTTTTCATTCTTTCAGTAAGTTATTACTTATATCCAAAAAAGAAATGACCTATCTTTATATACAATTAACATCAGAAATCAATGTTTGGTGCAATTGATCAGGATTTTTAAATTTAAAAATGAAAAATTAATCTCAATGCAGTATGTATCCAATAGCTTGTTCTTAAAGTCTGGTCCTGAAAAATTGCAGTATTCCTGCAGTATCTTTCATCTATCAAAATAGTTTGACTCCATTAGGACATCACTACTTTCACTTTTACAAGCATCGATATGTTTTAATATAGACTGACAAAACAGATAAAAATTAGAAAATAAGAGCACAACTCAGACAGGTGATCACTATTACCAACCACTCCATAAATCTGTTCCAAAAGAAACATTTTCATATGATTCAAACATTATTTCCAGTTATAAACATAAAACAAAAACATGTATTGAATCTTTCAAAGCATAAACACAAGTTTTGAATTGAACAACAGTTACTTTGCTCATCAATCTTATATCTAATATCAGTAGTTAAAATAGAAAATGTGTCCATACATTCCATTGATTCCGCAATAGTGAAGGATGCTGCTAACTTTAAAAGTGATGGCCAAGATCCAAATTATTTAAGTATCTTGAACAGCCCAAGGGATAGCTGAACTTCTATTTTACACACGCAAGTCCCCTGTCCCTCTCTTTGACATTTAAAAACCTGTTTTTGGAGGGGAAGAAATGGAAAGTTTTCTAGGTTTCCCCACCTTCAGTTTCAGTACCTGTGGCACTTGCCAAATTTTTCTCAATGCAATGTTAGCCCTGAATTGTTTCTTCTCTACAAAGATAAACAAAATACACTTGTACAGGTACATAAAGTAACATACAGCAACATATGGATAGGCATTGCATCATGCAAGAATAGAAGTGAACTAAGGTAGAAAGAGAGAAAGGAGATCTCTGGTAAGACAATTAGGGATGAGAACAACTTGCAAAGATCCACCAAAGCTTATAATCGGAGCTAGAGTCCCAGGTACCTTAATGTGGGAGAAAACTCTATTCAACCCAGTGGGATTGACTTCCAAATAATCAGTCTGCCCAGTCAAACTGAGCTTCTGACCTCACTCCACTAAAGCAAAAGCACCCAGTGCAAGTTACCCTGAAGCCCAAATGCAGAACTGCCATCCAGCAAAGGGTAGCTGTTTTTTTTTTAAATGGCCCCAGAAAAAAAGAAGCAATGAAGCTTCCCCAGGCCCCTTTCCCCCCCCCCCCCCCCTCTCTCTGCCTTCATAAATCGTCCAGAGAGGAAACCCCTGGATTGAAAATGCAGGTTTTCTAAAGTCGGGAATGAGAGGAGGAAAGTTGTATTAATCCCCATCCTCCCCATTCCTAATTTCATTTCTTTAGGATAAGGGTGAAAACCTCCCAAAGAAAGGAAAGGAAAAGAAAAGAGAAAGAGAAAGAGAAAGAGAAAGGGAAGGGAAAGGAAAGGAAAGGAAAGGGCATCTTCGTTATTCTCAGACACAAAGCTACAATACTAAGAGAAGAGGAGAGAAGAGAAATGAGAGAGGTAGTGGATGGATGAGTAGGTAGATAAAAGGATGAATGGAGGTAGGTAGGTAAGTAGATAGATAAGAGATAGACAGAAGATAGAAGGTTGATGATAGACAGAAAGACAGAAGTTAGATGGGGGGGCAGGCGGATGGATGGATAGGTAGATGAATAGAGAGATAGAAAAACAGATGAATAGATAGATAATATACAAATGGGGGGGGAGAGAGATGGAGAGAGGGGAGCAGGTAGATGGATAGATGAATAGAGAAATAGAAAAATAGATGAATAGACAGAAAATATACAAACGGTGGGGGGGAGAGGCAGGCAGGCAGGCTGATGGATGGATGGATGGATAAAGCTGTGGATGGATGGAGATAGATGGATAATTTACTGTAGACAGATGATATAGACAGACAGTACAGATAGTAAAGATGCAGAAGGTTACTGTAGGTAAAGTAACAGACTCGGGAGGGTCCCT